AATTATTAAGAATATTTTCCATTAGTTCGGGCATATCGCCCATAAATATTTTTGATGCCATGAATTTTGAGTTGTAACAAGAAAAAATTCGATTATTGACATCCCACGTACGTACTGTACGTAAGACGTATTTGTAATTTTAGACAGTGCACCCTAAAAATTGGGGCATCCTCATTTGTTTGAAGCATCACAGGGTTTAGTTCAATTTATGTATGATCTGCATAAATATTCCTTAACTCATCGGCTGTTTGATCAAATTTGTAGATCGCGATTGCGTGATCGTAAAGTGCGTTTTTCGGCCCTAGACAATTTAAATATAAAAATTTGTTGCATATTAATATTTATGCTCATTGCAAAATCGCGCAACCGGACAACAATCAAGTTATAGTTCAAGTGATTATATAGGTGTGCAATGTAACGAATTATTTATATGATCTCACCTTTTTGATCATCTAACCAAATTAGTATCATGATTGTTAAAGCCCATATGAGGCAGTGTGCATGTTGACATGAGGCTAGCGAAGCCGTAAAGTAGGTTCCAAACGTGTTCTCATTCATATTAATCAAAATGAATAACCTCGTTTTCATCATAAAGTTCACACCATCATCAAGTTACTTTATAGATTTACTATGCCCTTAGAAACCTTGTATTGTTTAATTAATATAACCCATAGTATTATACTGCGCATTCATTATGCAATAAAAATTCACATTACAGTTCACCCTCGTTATAACGGACTTTGTTGTTATAACAGAGTAATCATCAGCAAGTTGTTTTTTTATAAAATCTTAGATCTAAACTTTATATAGATATTATATAGAATACAATTTAAAAATTATATATGTTAATTTTTATAAATTATTTAATATACAACTAATATAAAATTTATTTAAAACTTATATAAATATAATTTTTTTTTTTTTAGGTGAGATCTTGCCTCATGTTATTTATTAAGTATATACGTATATGAATTACATACATTTATACAACAATTAATAGAATAGTGGCTTAGACTAATTATCTACGATCTATACCTACCAGAGCTATCCATGTCCCACTCATGTATTACCTGGATTTTGTGTATCACTAACTAAATATCCTATTCTAACCCTAATATATTTCTCACATTTCTCATACTACCAACCTTACACTCCCAATATGGTTCCAGTGCGGTATCCTTTACAGATTTCATTAGGGAGCACCAGACAAGCATAATCTCATGGCTACTTCCAGATTGGTGTAGTACATGTTGTCTGCCGTTACTGAGTTCATATCTCAAGCCATTATTTGTAATGCTGCCATAACCCAGTTTATATCTCAAGCACAACCTTCTTTATTATATATAGTGTTGATAATATGCATGCAGAACTTGATAACAGATACTCCCCTAATTGGTGGGTCTCACAGGTTATGGGTGTTAAAACTTCTAACCAAGTTTTTCGGAGTACATATTGTACTACTTCCAGTATTATATATTGGTATTTTAAAGTTGGTGTTTCTGTGTTTTGTTTCGTACTTGTTCCTTTTTCCAGATCTCATCCTAGGATCTTCCCTAGTTATACTACTGAAGTAGCCAAAGAATATACAACTAAGGCAGCTCACGTGACCCAGTGACCAGACAAGTACTTCCAGTTGGGTATGATCTTGCCGTGCCTTGTCCATTTTAAGTGTATCACAAGTTTTCACCTGCCAACTTTACTCTATATAAGGAAATTTTATTCAATCTAGTAGTAGTACAGATGCCAGAGGTGTTCCAAATCTAGTAAGGCCAATTCTTTATCACAGGTCCCTTTGTGTTCACCACATTTTTCACCACTTCCAATTCTAGTTACCATTCAGTCATCCTCCCAAACAAGATCTCCAATTCTGCCTTGGGGTTGTTGGTGCTACCTTGCCAATCACGAATTTACACACACAACTTTTTGTGTAATAGAACCTTCTGTAACAACCCTGTTACACATAGTGCCAACTACTCCACAATGGACCTCTTTCCGGAAATTCCTAATCCAGACCTGTATTTACTTGGACTTCTCACAGCAGATACTTCCAAATATTTGTAGATAAATATACCTACTAGGACTTGAACCAGAAACCCGCTCATGGAGGGTTGGGTGCCTAGACCACTAGGCCACAGGATCCCAACCCATATAAATATAATTTTATAAAAAAGATTATATAAATGATATATATTTATAAATATTATATAAAAAAATGTTAAATAGTATACCTTCTTTTGTATAAATTAAATAAGTATAATATTAGAGTTAGAGTTAGAATTAGGGTTAAGATTATAGTTGCCCTATTAGTAAAATTGTACCAAGAATATTTTTTATTAGTCACACAACAGGGTTACTCTAGTAAATTTTGCAATATCATCGAATAATTCAAATAAACTATTATTAAAGTTAGAATTAGGATTAGGATTATGGTTTGAGTTAAGTTAGGCTTAAAATTATATAACAAACATTTTTATTAATTACACACCAGGGTTATCTTAATAAAATTTTGAGATACAGAGAAGGTGCACCAAATGCATAGTGTATCATATAGTAGCTTTGTTTAATAAATTTTATATACTATAATTATATAACTTTTATATTAGGAAGTTAGAAAAAGAAGATTTAGGATTAAAAAAAGAAGATATAATCATGATAAGCTAGGACACAAATGCCTTCTAGTAATATATTAGATTTTTTGGTTGTAGTAAAATTTAGTATAGAGAAAAAGTTTACTATAGCAGATTGAACATGGGTAATTTGAATTGGGTTAGCAGTAGCCTGATGTCATGAAGTTGAGCTTGCCTAAAATAGATATAAAATAAAGATAGCATCAAGTTTATTAAAGTACTAGCATGATTGCCAAATTTACAAAAAAAAATATATATATGTATTGTAAAATTTAGATAGAAATTTGATATAAATTTTAATATATTAATAATTTTACATATATATTGTAATTATATAATCTTTATATATTATAAACTTAAATAAAGTTTAATATAAATTTTGAAAAAAGAATTAGTCAATATTACAAAATTTTACTAAGATAACCAGTAATAGCAAATAACAAGGTCATAAAAATTTTTATGAAAACGACCATAAATGAGATGTCATTTTGAAACGACAATGTTATTTATTATAAAAAATTTTTATACAAAACCATGGCAAAATGACAAGTCATAAAAAATATTTTTATAAATGACATTAAAATGACAGATAAATGACAATAATATTAATACTAAATATCTTCTAAGACCAAAATTCCTTGTGAAGAACAATTCATAAATAATTATTAAACTACTAAATTATACTAGTGATTTTGTAGTATCTGCTGATCAGGCGGCTGATAATCAGAAGTTTTGCAGTCAAGCTAGCAACTGTTACAACTTGTGGGAGAGCTTATAGGGTCTTGGACCAAGTTAAATGGTTTAAATTGATAAACTTATACACATAATTACAAGTTAAAGTTTTTTTTTATTAACATAAATCAGTATATTAGATTAACATAATGCTAATTGTTAATAATTATTCTAACAATATTCTTACAACCATTCTTACAACAGTTATTCTCAATTAAAATGTTAAATTCTGACTCTTAAAAGCTAACTATAAATATCTAGTAGAATAACTGTTTGACAACAACTATAAATAGCTAGAATAATAATTATCTAATACCAACTCATAAAGTGCTGTTAGAATGATTATTTAATACTAACTATAAAGAGCTGTTAAAAATGATTATTTAATATTTGGAATTCATAGTATGCCTGATAATTAGCTAAAATTTGCATTGCCAGTCTATAAAATTTATATAAACTATAAATGACAAGTATAGTCATAAAAAAATAAATGATTTTTTTATAACAAAAATGACTTGTCATATGGCAAGTATCATTATTTTTAAATGACAATATGCTATTACTGAAGATAACTACCTATTGTATAACTAATAAAAAAATATTTTTTTTGTAATTTTACTCTAATTCTAACTATAATTTTAACTAAAAAAACAGAAATTATTTAAAGTTTGAAAAACCAATATAAATTAGTTTGTTATCAGTTTTTGATTGTTTTGGTTGTCTTTTTTTACATTACATCTAATCTAGCTAATTAAAAGCTATAATTTGTAAACATGCAGATATCAGATTGTCATTACTCTATTGTAATGTCTTTTGGACAACTAGTGCTTTTAGATTCAGTTTAGATTTGGCCTAGTTTGAGTCTGGTCTGGAATCAGACCAGTGTCGCAAGTTAATCTGTGATTTTTATTACAAACAACCTAGACCAAACAGCGAGCACTTAATTGTTTTTCAATAACTGATTTTAATAAGTTTTATATTCAAACAAGTATTTTACTTATATTACTCAAATAAACTTTATTAATTAAGAGAGACTAATAATAACTCAACCTAATTTTTAATATTATTATATTTGTTTTGCTTATATATACATACTTTGGGTTATATTACTTACATCATAATTCATTCATATACAATTATACAATTATTTGACTCTTATATTACAATAAATTATCTCATATATCATATATACTGTTTACCTTATTTCAATTGCATAATTAATCATTACTTAATCTCTTAATTCCGATTGATTACTTGTAACACATATTATATATATCATATATACAAGATAATGATTGACTATTTACTTCATCTTTATTCCCATACTGTATATCACCATAACACAAGCTAGAGCCTCATGAACTTTGTTCTTGAAGTTTCCAATATAAACAGAACCTACTTTTCAATAATATCTGCAAAACTAATCCCAAATCTGCATAATTTTCTACAAGTTCTTCAGCAAGCCTCTTTCATAATCAAATATTCTTCTAAATCAGATTTCAAGTAAGTATTAATCTTTTTTACATTTTTTCTTTTTCTTTGAGCTTTTCACATTATTCTTCTTTTTATCAATATTATTTTGACACTAATAATCTTTGCTCTACTATTAGGAACTTTATCCTCATTATCATCACTTTTGAGTTAAATCTCATTATAATATACATTAAATGCATTATTTTTATAAATAATCTTTTTCCTATTGAATACTAATCTATAATCATTATCCAATTTAGGTTCTTTAAACAATTCTCTATCTTTAACACACTTAAAATCTTTCTTAATTATTTCTTTTTCATCTGTATTCACATTACTTATTTCAATAGCAACACTTGTCAAACTATCCTTTATATCCTTTTTTTTATTTAGATTATTCCTTATAATTTCATTTTCTTTATTATTACAATGTCCTTTACTACTGATATTTTTTTATAAGCAGATTTTTGACAATATTCTAATGCTTGAACTCTATCACTTTCAACTTCTTTATCATCAAGGCTTTCGAGTAAGTTTTTTATTTTCAATTTACTCTTACTTATTTTATCTTCTTCATTCTCTGTTTTTTTATTAGTACCTACTACTTTTAACTATTTCTTCCTTTATACTTTCTACTTTCTTTATAGAATCACCACAACTCATATTGCTCCAAGCATTTAGTTGAACACAATATTTAGTTTTTTTTAATCGTATATAATATTTAATGTTTTTTTTAATTATACACAGTATTTAAAATATTTTATGTTTTTTTAATCATGTGCAGTATTAAAATATTTTATGTTTTTTTAGTAATACACAATATTTAAAAAATTCTAAGTTTTTTTAATGAGATAAATTTTTTTTATACTCAGTTTACACTATTTATATCATATTAAATTGTACTTTTATTTTTTAATCATCAGTAAAATGAATATTTTATATATATCTAGTATGTGCAGTGTATAGTACAGTACGTAAAAATTTTTAAAATATTCAAAAAAAAATTATCTATTTCAAAAGTTTTTTTATAAAACCACCTTAGCAAAATTATATATATATATACTATAGATATTGCATATACTATACACACTATATGTACAGTATACTAAAAAAATCTCACTGTGTCCCTGGCATGGAACCTAGTGATTATCACATTGTAAAATCATGCAATGATATCATTTGTTTAGGCAAAAAAATTTAATGCTTTGTTTTATATTATCTTCTCTTCTTTTCAGAAGAAAGAGGAGGATGGGAAAAGGGAAGAAAAAAGAGTAAGAAGAAGGGGGAAAGGAGAGAAAGAAAGAATTTATAATTTCTATAGTAAAGTTTTTAAATTTTTTTTCAAAAAATTTTTTTTTAAATTGTTCTGTGACTATATAAAATTTTTTTGAAATATCCATAGCTCTATATATAGAGATGGGCAAATCGCAGGTTTTCAAAAATCCTGTATGTTATATATAAATCCTATGCAAAATAGGATTACTAGTCAGCAAATTTTTTAATTTTTATATTTACAGCTATTATCATAATTCCAAAGACACCTGTAAAAATTTGCTAAATAATTTTTTAGCTGAATCGGTTAAGTTATATATTTTGAGAAAAATAAGATTCACTAGATTGTAAAATTTTAATTCTATTCTTTGGCATGATCTATTTTTGTTCTAATTATTTTTTGATAAAAATTCAGGTTAAAAAAATTGCTAAAATTTTAATTTCAACAAAAATTTGTTTTTAAAACATTGTATAAAATTTCAACTCTTATTATTCATTTTTATTTAAACAAAGTCTTCATTCATTTTAATTTTTTTTTAGCAAAAATTAGTTTTTAAAAAATTGTATAAAACTTATTCCTATTCTTTGGCAAGATCTATTTTCATTCAAACAAAGACATTTATTCAAATATAAACATATAAATTTTTTACTTGGATTTTATTTATCATAATTCTTTATGCATTTTCAACAAATATTAATAATATCTTGGTCATAATCTGAGATTCATTTGTAAACCAGTTGATTATATTTAACTTTTTTAACAGCTGCACCTGTTTGAGTAATATATTTGTTAAAAAATCTACTTTATATTCGATTCCTTCTTTTTAAGGTTTATTGGTTGACATGAATAGTTATTTTCAAAATTTTTATGCAAACTAAAACACACCAAGCATTTTTAAACAAGCATTTGAACGAAAATTTAAAATCGTTGACATTTATCATTTTATTATATAGATCATACAGAATCAATAACTTAACCAGATCAGCTGAAAAATCATTTGGCAAATTTTAACAGATGTTCTAGAAATTATAAAAATAGTGGTAATAAAAAAACTATACAGAATTTATTATTAAAAATTAATTTTTTTGTTCAAATCAGTTATTTCTTATAAGTCTTATTTATTATAAATAAATTAATTAGAAATTGTCTAGATAGTTAATGCAAGCCAGATATTATATTAATGCTGGCCAGATAGTTTGGTAATGCCAGCCAGATAATTTTATTTGGGATCACATTAAAAATTCTACATGGATCCAAAAGAATCATGCATATTACACACATGCCCATCTCTATCTATATATATATTTTTAAATTTTTTTACTATGAGAGAGGAGAAGCACTGAGAAGGAGTGGGGTAATGTAAAACAGAAAATTAAATTGGTCTGGCCTTACTAGCACTAAAAAATTAACCAAACTCTAACTTAGACCAAACATGTGATGTGATAACTACAAAAATATCTTGTTTTTGAAACTATCTGACTGTTTACACTGTTCTGATTTAGCTTTCTGGACAATTATCTGATCCCAACCTGGTATACATTTTCCAAGTTCCAAAAGAAGTGATGTACAAATTCTAGTGACAGCTGAAAATAAGTGAGTTAGTCACTAAATAATTTGAGACATTGTGTAATCTATGATCAGGCTTAGTCAATAAAAGGTATTTAGATTTGGGTGAGAGTAATTTTGGGTTGTAGATATACCTTCTTTTATCCTCAAATGTGAAATACACTAATGCTTTTACTTTAATCCAACCCAATTTTTTACACAAAAACCATGGCTTGAGTTCTTCAACAATAACTCAAAACCAGAACTAGCCACTACAAAATCTATGGTCCACTGGAAAACTGGAAAACAACCACAACTATCTTCAGTCCGTCGAGACAGTTGAAGAATAACAACCACAGATACTCTCAGTACGTACGTTGAGAAACAACTGGACAGAGTTTTGGTATACTAGTTGAATATCATGTGAACAAGAGACAACGATCGTACTGTTAGACCCACCAAGTACACAAGTCACATGGAGAAGGAAATAGCATAGATCATGTGACTAGGCCTGTAGGATGTAGATCACTTTTGCCAAGGAAACTAATAGTTCTCGTAGTTCTTCTAGTTCCTGAAGATCTAATTTTTATAAAATTTATTTTATTTCTATTATATCTGTTAAATATGTCTTATATATTAGTTATATTGGATCCCGTATAATTATCAGATAGAACAGATCCGTTATAACTGATAAATAAAACATCAGAATATTATATTGGAAAAACTTGTATCAATACCCTTCGATTTCCCGTTGGAAATTGACAGTTCTAAACTCACAATTATTAAATAAAAAACATTATTTGTGTCTTCATACACAAGTAGAAACAGTAGTTAGTTGTGTAGAACGTTAAGCGATTTATCGTTCTTGATCACGTGACTGACGTGAAGAGATTTCACGGTCACATTTGTTAGTTTATTATTGACTTTACCCGATACGACTACCTGTATCTCCATATACATTTAGCCGTTTGCCTCTTTCACAAACCCAAATCACTACCAAACCTCTATTGAAATTCACGGCTTGAACTGTTAAGCACGTGAGGCATTTATAAATTATCAAACCCCAGTTGCATAGAGGTGGTTCGGGTGTAACAGTACTACCTATGCTTATGCCACTTTAAGTAGTAGATCAGGGTGTAAGTATTTATTTGGCGGGTAGAAATATCAGTGAACGAATTTTATGTGAATCGAGAAGGATATCTTCCCTCAAGGGCGAGAAGCCTTTATTATATACTTTCTTTCTAATTAGAACACACCGTACATCTTATTCGCGATATATCACTTATATTACTTATACTGATTATACAAAATAAACTCATGATTCCCCTTATCCTTTCTATCCCACCGATATCCCCGATGCAAGGTATACAGCGGATACAGTGTATACTGCCGGGAAACCCATTTATGGTAAAAGATCAACTTATCCGTAGGGTCGATTCTGCGCCAACTTCCACGTGCTTCCGGGTACAATTCTGCGGTTCACACTAGTATGTACTTATTGTTTATCAAAAAAAGTTAATTTTATCGCCGGCTACGCCTATTTAATTAATTCTAAAACCCAAATCAAAATTTGATTCTAAATATATCTATATTTAAATCGCACATTCAACCACATATCTATATGACTTAGAGAGGATGTGCATTTAAAAAACTGGAGATTTAGTTGAGTGAGCTTTTTGGGAACTATAACAAAAAAAAAAAAAAGAAGAATTTAAAAAAGAGCTGAAAAAAGGGATTAAATTGAATTTTTTTAAAAAAAATTTTTTTTTTTAAGCAACTAATCGAAAATTAGCTCAAAAACTGTTGTTACACTAAAGAAAGAAATGTCGTTGCATTGATAAATTTTACGGAATCTTGTAAAATTTGTATTTTCTTATGAATTAATTAATATAAAATCAAATTTCCTCAAAACTTAGTATTTTATATTCGATCAACTTAACAATTAACAATAATATGGTCATATGGTACCAATGTAGCATATGTTTCTACTGCGTTTTTAATATCATCATCCAAATCCGAATATCTGAATAAACCCACGTAACTCAATGTTCTGTTTCGTATACAAAATTCGATTAACGCTTTAATATTTTTCTTGGTACCAAGGTGATAAACCAATAGTTTTTTTAGAGGTGCATTACAATGATTGAACAAAATGTCAAAATATGAATTTATCCAATTATCTCTTAAATCAAGATATTGCAATGTCATTGGTAATATTTCTGCAAACTGCATAATTCGTATTTTTAGCTCTTCTTCTTTTAGTATGTCAAAAGTAAACCCTAATGAGAGAAATTGAAGTTTTTGTAAATTACCAATAAGTTCTAGGAGTTGTGTGGAAAGCCTAATATTAAAAATGCTAAGGTATGTAATATTTGGGCAAAAGGATTTAAGTGCTTCTAGTAATAATGATTCTTCTGAAAACTCGTAATTTACTGATTTAAGTTTTAGTCGTTGTAGTAATATACCAAAATTTTCTAAAATTTGTATTATAGTTGATAAATCAATATGGAAATCAACTATTTCTAAAGTGCTGATTTTATAATTTAATATTTTCAACAGTTTTGTATCGCAAAACCTAATACGAAGAATTTCCAATTTTTTACAATTTTTCAATATCTCGAACTCTGCACTATAAGCACAACCTTCTATTATAACTTCTTGTAAAGAATTTTTTTGACTATCTAAAGCTGAAATGATGCCATGATATTCTGTAGGTAAAGGTAATTCTTCATCACCATCTAAGCTAAATTTCCTAAGATGCTCTTGTGATTTAATAATACAAATAAGTGTATGAAATAATTGTGACTCATAATCAAAATAAAATCCACTAAGTCTCAATGCACTA